TTTTTATTTTTTTTTTGAGACAGAGTCTCACTCCGTTGCTCGGGCTAGAGTGAGTGCCGTGGCGTCAGCCTAGCTCATAGCAACCTCAAACTACTGAGCTCAAGCGATCCTCTTGCCTCAGCCCCCCGAGTAGCTGGGACTACAGGCGTGAGCCACCATGCCCGGCCAAGATTCCTTTTTAAATGATTGTTGGTTCACTGAACTTCATAAGGTCTCTTCCCCCAGGGTTCTTTAGCCAGTTCACATATTTAAAACAATTATCACATTCTGAAATAATAGAAGAGTTTTACTGATGTGTTTTTGAAGGTTTATGTAGAAGTAGTAATGGTGTTTGGAGTTTTACTTTACTTTTGTGAAACATACCATACTCAGTTCATAAGTACTGTGTTTAAAATATTCTACTGTTTTTTCTCAGGAATTCTTAAAGTATATCCACTATTTGAATTTTATTTAATGAAAGTTTTTAGCAGTTTCTAAAAATGATACTTATACTGTCACCTTTTTTATTATGATGTGCCATGAGTTGAATTATAGTTATAAGATCTATGTTATATACTTAATCTTCATAGGCTTACTTAGGTTAAATTAGGTATGTAATTTGGAAATTAAAAAAGTAATATACACATATGAACCAGTTATCTTAACCATCACTGGCACATGCTGTAGCTTGTATAGTACTTTATTTCTGTTTTTTCTCTATGGCAATTTATTATAATTTACTTATAGATAGCTTACATATTGAGAATGGCAGGAACTCTTTCTCCTGAGAGGTTGTAGTTGAAAAAATTATTTCCAAGGCATTTGAAAATTATTTAATATCTTGAGGAATTGCCACATAATTTGCTCATAGAAGTATCTTTGCTTGGCAATAAACTTAGTATTTTCAAGGAAATAAAGAATAAGTATACTTTAATTGACTGGTTTTCAGAAGGAACATACTTAGTAACTGCTCAAAATACTAAATTTTTTTACTAACTACTCGATGTCTATTTTTAGTACCTCTTTGAAAATGTATCTTTGACTTTAAGATGAATGAATTAATATGTTATGAAAAATAAAAATTATGAAAATCACTAAATCTGAAGCCTAAAAGTTAATTTATATGATATACCTGGTACCATGATAGAGTTTCAAGAGCTATCAGAAATGACAGAGTAATTTGGATAGGGTATTTTATGGGATGCATTTTTCTTTATCAGTTTCTGACAAGATTTTATAGAGTCTGTAGAGTGAGGAGGACCCTTCCCTCAGTGCACTTTGTGATTATTTAGCTTTTTGTTACTTTAACCTGATGAATACAAGCTGTATAATTTAGTAAATATAAGGAAATCAAGTTTGCATTCATTGCTTTGGGCAGGTCAGATGATCAAATTGCTCAAAGTTTGTGGAATCCATTATATAATCAAACTAAAAATTGATCATTTATAGTAATTAGCTTAAATAAAGAGTTGAGGGAAAAGCATAAATACCTATATTGTCCAAAAAAAAAAAAAGTATTTCTTTCCTTACAGCTTTGGGATCCCTTCCGGAGTGGAATTCAGTATTCAAATTGTGTATCATCAATTGTTTTTGTATTTTACTATCCAATAAATAGAGTTCGTAATCCACAGTTTTGGTTACGATAATATAACTTGATGCTACTCAAAATATCCTGAGAATCATGAATGAAGAAATTAAATGTTGAGACTTAGTTTTGAATAAGAAGGAATCTGGGAATGGAATGTGTAGCTAATAAATCCCCCTTATCTACTATTTGAATATATTATCGTTCTTCCAGATGTTTCCTATAGCAAGAATATTATAAATTGGAAACCTATATTTTAAGTTCTGTATCATGGATACTCTACATATGTAGTGAAAATTCATCCATTTATTTTTATGTTAATAGACAAACTTTATAGATTTAGTGATTTTCATAATTTTTGTAATATGTCAATTCATTCATTTTAAAGTAAAAGTTAGACACTTTCAAATAAAATAGACACTAAAAACTAGACATCAAAGCTAAACAGGCTAAACTGAAATAGAAAAATATTTATATAAAATAAAAATAGCTAGGATTAGTTTGTCTTTGTTTATGGTGATTGTTAGTCTCCCATGTTATTGTGCCTTCATTACATATCAATTTAAGATTATAGATTTACTTACTAATATCTCATTTACTAATTTTGTGTTGTAATTATCATTGTTGTTTGTAAGCATATAAGTAATGGTTTCCCACGTATTCTTTCAATATTGTGTTGAAACCACTAATCTCTTTTAAAGCTTTGATAATAGCATTCTTATCTGGGGGAAATATATACCATATATGCGTGTGTTTCGGAAATGTGTAAAACATTAAACTTTAAAAAAGAAAAAGGTTGGGTATAGAATTAACTCTCTAAAGACTTTGTTTTTCAAATTCAGTAGCTTATCAGTAAGAAAAGACATTTTTATGTGCACATGCTTCTGAAGTGGGCAATTTGTCTCGTGCTCATTATTATATTTTAAAATACATTAATATGTATGGGTTAGTGTTTGAATTAGACACCATTTGAAGACTTTAGAAATCACTATGTGTGTTTGCATGATCTTAGAAAGTTTGTAACAAAACAATAAAACAAAACTGTAATGATAACCAGAGCATGCAACTCATATAACTTTGTACTTTTTCTTCCTTATGGTCTTTGTTTTTCTTCAGTCTGCATTGGATTGGTGGCCTAAGATTGATGCCGTATATTGTCACTCCGTTGAACTTCGAAATATGTTTGGTGAAACACTGCATAAAGCAGTGCAAGGCTGCGGAGCGCACCCAGCAATACGAATGGCACCGGTAAGATAACTCATGAACTTTGAATCTCACCTTCTTTCTATTGCGTTTTTAGTGTTTATCCCATTCGTGCTGCTTTGATTAGAGAATTTGAATGGATTCTTCCTTTCCTATAAATGTTGTAGCATGTTGTATATTGCAATACTGTTGAATACTAATTAATGTTTGTTTTCTACTGTTTTAGTGAGTTGAAGTTATTTTTCTTAGGGAAATTTTCTCACAAAATGGTGATAAAGTCTTAATAAATGTCATCTTTTTTTCCCTTCTTCAAGTTTCTTTTTCCTTCAACTTATGACTAAAAATATTTTGATTAGCTTCTAACCTTTTGGGGATGAGTAAGGGAAGCTGACTGCTGAGTTAGAGTGAATGTTCCTGGTAATGCACATTTTAGCTCATTGGATGCTGAATATTACACATAGGAAATTAGGAATAAAATTTAGAATTTTTAATTAAAATAAAAAAATTTCATATTTCAGCAAGCATGCTTTGAGTGTTTAAAAATGATAGCACTTTGAAATAATGAAGTTCGACTGTGTTTAAACTTAATAAAAGAAGATTGTTTTCAAAGTAGGTATTCTAACAGATTATTACTCTTTATGTGGAATTTAAAAACTCATATGGAATCAACTTAAACATATAATTATCAGATGGTATAAGTCATTTCTTGGTATTTATGTATAGCAAGAGTATTATACATGGCAACTCTTGACATTGGTTGGTGATGTTTTGTCTTCTGCTGCTTATTTTCTGTTCTTACACTCACATGATCAGATGCCAACCAAGTCACTGTTTTGCATGGCAGTGGGCTTCTGTGGCTGTAAGTATGACCCATTGTAACTACCTCAGAAACGTCCTTGGTTTCTTTGACTTTTCTGTGTATAGTTACCATTGTAGTCACATCCTGTCATTTCAAATGAAGATACAGCATGTCACCTATTGGTTTTATCTATTAAAATTGTCATTTCACACTTAGGAGATAATTTAAAAAGCTTTCTCCCTGGCATGCTTCCCTTTTTCCAAGTTCCCTTAGTCAATAAAATATTTTGGTTTCATACAGTTGTGGTTCACTCTTATTCAGTTGTCAGTAATTGTTTCCAAGGATTGTTTTAGATCTGTGGTCCCCAACCCCCAATCCCTGGGCTGTGGCCCGGTACTGGTCCGTGGCCTGTTGGGAACCTGACTGCACATCACTGCCTGAGGCCTGCTCCACCCCCACCTTCTCCCACAACCCCCATCCCCAGTCCATGGAAAAATTGTCTCCCATGAAACTTAGGAACTGGGCCACACAGTAGGAGGTGAGCGGTGGGTGAGCTGTCGAAGCATCATCTGTATTTACAGTCGCTGCAGCTGCTCCCCATTGCTTGCATCACTGCCTGAGCTCCACGTCCCCCCACATACCCTGTGGAAAAATTTTTTTTTTAATTTTTTATTTCAACATACCATAGGAGTGTAAATGTTTAGGTTACACATATTGTCTTTGCCCCGCCCTGTGGAAAAATTGTCTTCCACGAAACCAGTCCCTGGTGCCAAAAAGGTCGGGGACCACTGTTTTAGATGTTCAGATAGAGAAGCTTTCTATATCATATATTTTGGGATTATTTAGCCTAAAAAATTATAGCCAAACGATCATGACAATGATATTTTATTAAATACGCTTTAAAATGCAAAGTTATGGTTTAGTTGACTTTTTATAATGCCAAGTACTTAATTTCTTAAAAAGTTGAAAAAAATTTCAATATAGGTATAAGTTAGTTGGAGGTAAACATAAATAATAGCTATTTAAATGTTATTTAACTAGATACCATTTTAAAAAATTTAGAAAATTACTAGAAATAAATTGTTTAAAAATTATCTCAACCTATTTATTCATTCTAGAATGATCTGTCTTCTGGGAAATTAAAACTTCATTTGACTTTTTGTTTTAAGTTCACTACCTTTTCTGGTAGAACATTAATGGCCTACAGTAATAGGAATTGGTGGAAGGTTAATATTCACTTCCATTTTAACTTCAGTATCCAGTTTACCAGCTGTTTATAATTTTCTATGCATGTGAACTGAAAGAAAATGAATCTAAATTATTCTTTTGAACAAAGACAAAATCTAATTGGTAGTCTAAAGATATTCTCTACATTTAGAAGTTATTTTACTTCTTAGACCTACTTAGTAGCTGATTCTAAGAGCTACATATTATACTACATAAAAGCTATAATAAGAGAGGATCTCCTCTTTTGCCCCAAGGACTCCGGTGATAAGAATTTAGTTTTTATTTCTAATTATTCTCTGAAAGTATCAATATACATTTAATTTTCAAAATCATTCTTAAGGTGTTTATATATTTTTTTTTTTTTGAGACAGAGTCTCACCGTGTTGCCCGGGCTAGAGTGCCGTGGCATCATCCTAGCTCACAGCAACCTCAAACTCCTGGGCTCAAGTGATCCTCCTGCCTCAGCTTCCTGAGTAGCTGGGACTACAGGCACGTGCCACCATGCCCGGCTAATTTTTTCTATGTATTTTTAGTTGTCCGATTAATTTCTTTCTAATTTTAGTAGAGACGGGGTCTCGCTCTTGCTCAGGCTGGCCTCGAACTCCTGAGCTCAAACAATCCACCCGCCTCGGCCTCCCAGAGAGCCAGGATTACAGGCGTGAGCCACTGTGCCTGGCAAGGTGTTTATATATTTATATATGTATATGAAATCTTGGTGTATGTATTTGTACATAATGGGTAAAGGACAGCTTTTTGGCTGATATTTTCATCAGAGAAAATAATTAGCAAATTTAACATGAAATGATTTTTTAGAATAAGAAAATGTTAGGGTAAATCTCCCCCCCTTATTAACTTGACATGTTAATAGTCAGATAGCAAATATGCCTAACACAGTGCTAATGCCAGGGAAGCTTGACAAACTAAACAGGCATAGCATTTTTTTCCCTTACAGAGATTCCAAGCAAAAGTCTTACAGCTTTTGCTTGAAAATGCCTAATGATGAACTCATTACAGGTGGCCATAAAGTCTGGAAACACAGGCGAATATGTATAATAAATGATTTAGAGATAATATATTACATTAGGGTTTCTTACCCTTGGCACTGTTGACGTTTTGGACTGGATAACTTTTTGTTGTAGGGGGCTGTCCTCTATGCATTGTGGGATGTTTAGCAGCATCTCTGGCCTCTACCCACTAGATGCCAGTAGTCCCTCCACGCATACCCAGTCATGAAAACCAAAAAAGTCACCAGATGTTTCCAGATGTCCCCTGGTGGACAAAATTGCCCCCAATTGAGAACTACTGATATGTTCAGTTCGTTGTCCCTCATTTGTATTGCCTCAAATGATTTGGGACTCTGATAAACTTTAGCCTTTAGCTTGCTGCAGAAGTAGCAATCAAGGAGTTCAATCTGTAAAAACGTAAAATAACATCTGTATTTCAAAGCTTACAACCACTTTGTATTTTGGAGACAGATAAGACACATGTTAGAAAGAGCTGATTATTTGAAAATTTTCTCTTCGATAAAGATAGAATCATGTCCCTGTGACTTCTAGACATCATTGATCCTCTTTTTGAGCTTTATCGGACACTTATGATTCTTCCACATGGTAGCCCTGCAGATATTTGAATAAAGTTATCCTGTACTCCTTAGGGTTCTTTTTATATAATTTTAGCATTGGAAGAGATTTTATTATTTCAAATCTCTTTAAAAGTTTGTGTGTTTGGTTTGTTTGTTTTGTTCTTACAGCTAAGGAAACTGAGGCCCAAATAATGTTAAATGAATTAGAAATAGTCACATGGTTAGGGAATGGTCAATTAGAGTTAGGTCTGAGATTTCTTGACATTCAGTCCAGTGTCTGTCAGATTCTTTAGTTATCTTCCCTTGCTGGCATGTTAGCTTGATGAAAGCAGGGGCTTTGTCTGACTTGTTCAACACTGAATGTCTCATTCCTAGAACAGCGTCTGGCATGTACTGGACATTTGGTACATATTTGTTGCATGAATGAATGAATTTTTTATTTGACCTGATTTCAAAACCCTCCTCTATCCAGTTTGCTTTTCTTCTGGAATGACCAGCTTAACATTTTTTGAAGTTAAAATGACATATTAAGATATGATTTTAGTGTTCCAGATGTATAATAATTGATAAAGGCTATTAACTGGCTGTGTCTGGATACCATGTTTGTATTAATACAGTCTGAGATTGTGTTATTGTTTTATATTGAGCTTTTAGTTATTTAAACTCTTTGGCCTTTTTCATATGAATGTTGAACCATAGCTGCCGCTTTGTAGTATTTTCTAAAATGTGAAATGTTTGTCTCAACACTAATCATTTACTATTTTAAAACTAAGATCTGCTTTCATAAAATTCAAGTGTGTCAATAATAGGTTTAGGAATTTTCACAAATATATATAATTTCTAAACATTTTTCATCTTAAAGGGAATCCTGGTTCTGTAAATGCTTCTTACACACCTGTAATTCAGTCATATGTTCCTAATTAAGTTAACATGTGGTTTGAGCCCTTCATAGATACCTGAAGACTGGTGGTTCGTGAATTTCTTCCCAGGCATGACTGCCTCTCTCCTTTGGCTAGATCACATGTACCAGCTTGGATTCCTACTAATATCTGCAATATGGAAGATCAACTAATAAATAATGAATAATTTTTTTCTTATAATTCTAATTAAGAAATACATTTCTTCTTCAGCAAGTTGTTCCTGACTATATATAACCAGCCCACTAATGGTCATGAAATTATAAGGTGTTCGAATTAATTAAATTTATTGAAATTTCTCTGGTCTTACGTTTCATATTCGGCAGCCGTGCTAGAACAAAATTTATATGCTGATACCTGAGAATAAGAGATGACATAATTAAACTAATAAAATCATGCATCGCTTAAAGACAGGGATACATTCTAAGAAATGCATCTGTAGGTGATTTCATCATCATGTGAACATCATAGAGTGTACTTATACAAACCTGGATGGTATAGCCTGCTACACACCTAGGCTATATGGTGTAGCCTGTTGCTCCTGTGCTACAAACCCGTACAGCATGTTACTGTACTGAATACTGTAGGCTGTTGTAACACAGTGGTAAGTATTTGTGTATCTAACATAGAAAAGGTGCAGTAAAAATACTACATAAAATTCTCCAGAGAAAGAGACAGTTAAAAAGAAACTGCTATATAAAAGATAAAAAATGGTGCACCTGCGTAGGGCACTTACCATAAATGGAGCTTGCAAGACTGCAAGTTGCTCTGGATGAGTCAGTAAGTGGTGAGTGAATATGAAGGCCTAGGACATTACTGTGCACTACCGTAGACTTTATAAATGCTGTACACTTAGAATACACTAAATTTA